GATGAGTGTTTGGGTTTGGTGGGTTTTTTGGTTTTGGGGTTTTTTTGTTTAGGGCTTGTTTTGTTTTGTTTACAAGAATCTCCATAAGTAACCACACATTTATGGCCCATTTTAAGTTAACTCCTGCCTCTTGTGATAGGGGCTGAGCTTAAAGAAGCATCAAGGCTAAAGGGTCCTCACATTATTGCTTTTCAGGATTACATTCATAAGGTGCCGGTGGTGTGAACAATGTAATTTGCAATGAACTGTCATAGGAAATAAAAGGATAAAACTACACTATCACTTACATGCTTGGGTGGAATACTGTTAAAAGCTCTGTATATAGCTGCTTGACTCTGAGAATGCACAAAGCAATACAATTTACAACAATTTTCTTGATATTTTTAAGAGAACAGTAGAAAATGGTGGAAATAAATTGAGTGCTAGTAATTACTGATTATTCAGTAATAAAACTGGATGTCACAAGTATTCCTTTTTCCTTGCCTTGCAGTTGCATGGGGTAGAGTGAACCATCGCTGCTCAAGAGCCAGTCATGCATGACTGTGGGCTCTGTACTCAGGACAGTGGCGAGTATCTGGCCAAACTCCTTGTAGTAGGGGCAGGTAGATGGGGAGCTGCTGGACTTGTGGTTATCTTCCTTTGCACTGTGGTAGGCTCTAGAAGTTTTTAATACACTCTTACTACATGGGACATCCATTTAATCTCTCCACCAGCTGTTTTAAGCTGCTTTCATACAAATGATGATTTTGAGTTGTTCTCAAAATCACATTATTGGCTGTAGTTACATCAAAATGACTGTTGTAGTCCTTTAGCCAGCTTGTTGCACCAGAGCAGCATGTCCTAGAGCTTTCTGACTAAAGGCTTCCTGACTGTACACCTCCTGCCAAAGTAGAGGTGCCATTTGGAGTGAATGTGTTGGCAGATGAGCAGCTCCTGAAGCTTTGGAGGTGAATAGAAAGTCCAGGATAAAGACATTGTAAGGTAGTATTGGGGAGTTATTAAACTTTAGTCCTGCTACCTTGACTTTTAACTGTATCTTCACTGCCAGATAGAAGAGTCAGAACCTACTGAGAAGCCTGAGGTTTGCTTCTAGTCTTTATCCGGGAAAGCAAACCAGGTTCACAGGATTCATTAATCTGCGTGTAAAGAGTGTTTGAGAGGACTTTGTGTGGAAGAGTTTGAGTTAAGGCATGCAACTCAGATTGACTTCTAATTTAGCATCCTGATACTGGTAACTTTATGCACTCCTTTATCAGTTCTGTATTCATCCTAGAGCAGTGAGATATATCTGAATGCTAGTGCCATGAGTGTTTAATTTGTAATTTTGCTGTGTCTACTCATACGTCTAAAGTCACCTACATGTGCATTGTCCTTGCAGAAACAAACATCTTTTAGCACTTCTTGTTTGTTTGTTATCATTGCACATTTTACCTTCATAACTCTCCTCCCCTTTTTTTCTTTCTTACCTTTTTACTTTTCTTCAACTGTCAGTGGAATTATTGTCTTCCTGTCTCCATATTCAGGTAGTGTCAGTGGCTGAGTATCACCGCAGGATCGATGCTCTAAATAGCGAAGAACTGCGCACACTCTGCAGACGTCTCCAGGTGCCCTCTTCAGTAGTTTAAACCCCATCTCCAGATACTAAAACATCTTTCTTTGTAGTGTCTTTGTTCAGGGCAAGTCCCACACTCAGTGGGTTTGTCTCGTGCACTACAAGGATCCAGCAGAAAATTCCTCTGTTTTGGATCTATTTAATTGTGCAATGCTATGATGGAATCAGTAATTTTATGATGGAATTTTTACTTTCAAACAGGAATTTTCTGTCAGAATTTGAAAATTTGTTCTCGGTACTGCTTGTCTTGGAGTGATGTGTTTTAACTTCCACTTTAGACTGGTGTGTTGCATTAGGTGGAAGCTTTCCTAAAAAGAATGCAAACCAGGTGAAGAATCCTAATTTTGTTGCATGGGTGTTTAATTTTATATAGGAAACTTTCATCAAGAATCTCGCAGTACTTGGCAAGTATGAAGCTTCACAGCTTCTGTGGAATAGGTAAGTATTTTTCCCATTATGCAAGCAGGTGACTGAGGCAGTTCGATACGGCAAAGGTCATACACATGGAGCTGATAACGGAACTGTCTGTTCCAAAAGCAATACTTCAAAAAGCAATACTTCAGATTTTTGAAGGTTTACTGATATGGACTTAAACTGGTATTTGCATTCTCTTTAGGTGTTTCTTAGTTCTTTGACAGTTATAAAATTGTTAGCTGCTGTGTACATCATACATAACTTACTGATGGAAGGCATAGCTCAGAACTCATTAGAAGTATTGAGTATTTTGTCTTCCTGTAGTAATTGGCTGCTGAAACTAAAACGTTTCAGTTCTGTTTTTTTACTTTGATCTTGGGGTTTTTTTCACCTGTTATGTAATTACACATAAGAAAACATTTTCTTAGCTCTTTTACTACTGTTTATTTAATAATCAGTAATTAATTGCTTTAAAATGTTTTGTAAGTAGTACAGTTACATAAAGCAATAATGAGTGTGAACCCAAAAGCTGCAGTTCTACTTCTATGGGAAAATAAGAAATTTTGCAAAAAAAATTTTCATTCCCACTTGAGAATAAAACAGTTCTCTTTCTGGCAAGTGGTCGTGGAGAATCCTTTTATTAATATCCTGGAAGTGCAAGAGCTCTTTCCAAATACCTTTCACCTGGAATGCCCAAACTCAGGGTTTAGACTGACTTGAAAAACCTGGTGTGATGGGCTGGAGACTATAAACTGTCTTTTCTGAGGCCATGTAAGTGTTTGTGTGTAGACTGCATGGCCGTTACTAATCTCAGAAGCCCCTGGAATCTGACTACAGGTCAGTCTGCTCTGTCAAAGTTTAGTGGGAAATAAATTTGCAAGTTTCAAAACTACACTGCATTCTGTCAAACAGATAGCTTTGAACAGACACATCTTTGTCCACTTCTATAAAGCAGCGTTCTTCCTAGAAGAAAGTTGCTTTAGTGTAAGAATAATTTAAAAAGGCAGAAAAATCCAACAACAACAACAAAAAACAAACAAAAAACCCCCCCAAACCCAAAACCTCAACCCACTCCCCCCCTTCAATCCAAATTATTCATGTTTTGCATGGTGCACTTTAATCAGAATTAAAGAATAACAAAATGAATAAGCTTTCTGCTGTACACTTGAACAGTGCTGAACATTTATGGAGTTGAAGCAGTGGTATATGATGGATGGAAGGCATTTAAGGTGGAAAAGAGTTGGACTGCCAAATAACATGTTTTATAGATAGCACTCTATAATGCAGTCTGTAGGTCATCTTTCTGTACATGAAGCTGCATGGATGAATGCATATACTTTTTTTTTTGTTGTGATATGGAAATTAGTGCATAGTTTACATTGGAAATGCTTGTTACCCTCCATTGAAAAATGGAAGGCTTGAGCTTTTTGCTTGCTTGATACTTTCTTTAAGCGCACCTTTTCTTGAGTAAAGAATTAATATTGTAATTAAGTTACTGTATGAATATACTTTGATACTTCAACTTTATAAGCCTATTTTTAAGTAACAAGGAGTTTGAGGTAGTAACTTTTTCCATAATTCTTGTGGAGAGGAAAGGGATATCCTTTTTTTCAGCTCAGGTGGCTGTATTTGTTTAAATAGTCTTATCTGTATTTCAGAGTTTTCTTTGATATGGGTTTTCTTTTGTTAACTAAGAAAGCTCTCTTCGCAAAAGCTTAGCAAAATTTATCTTGGTGGTATGTGAAATACCATAATCGTGTCCTGTATGTTTAGAGTATGAGGTAACTGGCAAACACTGGTTCTTATTCTGGAGTTGGCAGAGGGTTTTGGTAGGTATTTTCTTGAAATTCTCAGGATTCAGGCTTTAAATAATTTGGACAGTTTGACTTGCAGTAAAACTTGGTTCAGGCTGATAAATTATTCAGATGCAGTCATTCTTGTTAAGATTTTTTTCTTTAGTAAATCCCTCAACATTGTAATAAGTCTTGCTGCAGTGACTTAAGTTACTAACATCCTTCACTTTGTCCTACTCCTCTGTCAGACTTCACTACCCCCACAGCAAGTTTTAACTATCCCTGCAGCAAGAGTTATAGAAGGAAACCTTTTTGGGTCGCAGCTAGTCTAGTTCTCAACATGTGGCACTTTTGCTTGAAAGTGCCAATGAATGTGGACTGGGGTAAGAAGCTGTCATGAACTATGATACCTGATGAGGAGTTTTGTGGCCTTCTGCAGCCTCCACTAAACGGTGATCAATAGGGTATAGATATATGGGGCAGTTATTTTAAACTACTACAGGATCTTCATGCGTAGTGCATCTTTGCCAAACCCCAAAGCTCACTATGCAGCATAAGTATTACTGCTGCTTTCTCCTCCCCACCCACTCAATTCTTTTTTCTTTGATTCCCTTAAGTACTCCAGCAGATCAGCTTATGGAGCAGCAATATTCCTAGGGCTCCATTCAGATGCTTTACTCAACGTCCTTGACAGCAGTCTTTCCACATGTCTACTGTTTATGTGAAAGCTTTTACAAGTACTCTAAAAGAAACTACTGAGAAATGTCCATGTTAAAGTTTCAGTTCCTTTTCTGTCTGGGTTTTTTAATTACATTTAATGTAAACACTGTGTTAGTATTAAAATGCAAGCACTGTGTAAGCTGACCTCTGAAAAGCATTTGAAGTCCTTCAGCTGTATATGAGGACTCTTTTTTTTTTTCTTTTCTTTATTTTTTTTTAGCATAAAACCATAGCTTTCTTCTGAGTAGGTGTCTGTGTAATTCATTGTTAGTATATAGTTGAGTACCAGCTTGCTATTGGATGCAGTGGAAATCTTGGTCAGATCAAATCTAATGGATTTCTTAACTTTTGAAGGAATTGTATAACAGTAAATCGGTAACTGCATGATTTTAAACCTGCAAAGTTTATCCTTCCTGCTAATAGAATTGTGAATACTTATTTTCTTGTTGTTCTTTTTGTAGATAACAACAAGAGAAGATATCAATTCAAAACAGGCAACAAATATCAAAACAGACCTGGAGCCTGAAGCATTCCGGCCAAATCTTAGCGATCCCAGTGAATTACTACAGCCAGAGCAAATTGAAAAGGTATTAACTTATATATGTCATTTTTTAGTATTGTACATTAATGTATCACAAATGCTATGACCATAGTGTAAAACACATCAGTAAGAAGACCTTGTATGATATTAAATGCATAAGCACAACATAATTCATAGCTAAAATGTTGCTTTTTTTCTTAATATAACTTTGAATACACCATGACAACACTGGTCTGTGTCTCTGCCCTTATTTCATTCTTTCTTGAAAACAGCTTGGCTTTCACTGCAGTTCTTGCTGTCTAGTCCAAAGTCACCTCATTAAATGTGTTTATTGAAGGTTTGGATCAAGGCTGATCATGTTCAAAGGCACAGGAACAGGAGAGCAAGCATCCTTTACCATTCAGCTTGTTACCTGTTGACTTGAGTGATCTAGTTCTCCAGTACTGAGACATAATATTGTTATGCAAGAATAACTGTGGTTTTACTGTCTTTAGATAAATCTCTTAGAGACCTTACCAAACACATGTTCTTTGGTTGGTAAATCATTCTTCTCCTGCAGGTCACTGGTAGAGCTAGGAGAAGAAACCTGCTTGAGAGACTAGGGATAGAAAATATGCCTGTGAAACTTTACAGTTGGTCTGAAGTTTTAAACTAGCTTATAAGGCCACTTGTAGTTCAGAACAACATAATCAGCTTTCATTTATATGTAATATAGTCTTAAAAATAGTAAAAAGTGTATTAAATAAGAGGATGGTTGTTATCTTGTTAACAGCTCACAAAGTCTCTTCCACCACGGACCATTGGCTATCCATGGACTCTTGTCTACAGTACTGCAAAGCATGGCATGAGCTTGAAGACTTTGTATCGAACTATGCTGGGATTAGACACACCTGTGCTGTTGGTTATCAAGGACAGTGATGGACAGGTAGGAAAATGTTTGTGTGGAGGTAGGGGACCCATCAAAAAAGTGTTTGAGGAGCATAAAGGAATAGCTGACACTTTAGTCCATCATGGGAGACAAAATTGTGTGTATCAAGCTGGTTTTCCCCTTGGTAATTACGTAGATGCTTTTAAAAACATGTTTCACTGTCAAGCAATCCTCTGACATACTACATTTCTAGGAAATTCTTTACTGTCACAATGCATGAGTCTCGTAATACCCAATTACTGAATTTACTTTTAGTATTCTTTTTTAAATGCACTTAAAGCACAAGAAATAGTCTCTAAAACTTTCTGATTTGGGAAGATCTTGTTCAGTTGGAATGTCATTGCCAGCTGCAGCCAATGCTTCTGGGTACATTCTTTGGCTGCAGCCAACATCTCTCATTCGAGGGCTGCAGGATCTTTGCTGCATAATGAACTTTTGTTCCTTGAGTCTCTCTAGTTGTGCTCTATTCTCCTTTGACTGGGATATGAATTCCAGAAAGTGGATCACATCTCACCATTTGAATAGCGAACATCGTCTCTTGAATATTCTAATAGCAGGTGAAATTACAGGCAGCATGAGACTTTGATTCTTTCTTTCTGAAACTTCTGCACTCTGTCATGGAAGCAAGTTACCACTGTCATGAAGAATTGATAGAACCACTGCAAAATCTGTAGTATTTACTTCATTTATCTGTCCCACTTTGGTAACCAGTTTTTATTTTCAGGAAGCATGGGCTCATATCACCCCATATCATTCAGGGGGGCTGAAAACTGTAAATGAAGGGTATGTTTTCCTAATTCAAGTTACAGCTTGTTTTTTCCTTCTGTTTCCTGACTCAGGGATCCCTTAAAAAGAAAAATCCCTTCTAAATCTCTGCTAGTAGAGCACTCTTTCCCAGAAGTTCTTTAAAAGGGAACTTCACTTCATTTACTTTTTAATGTTGAAGATAAAAACTATTCAACAGACTTGAGATGTCTCAACAGATCCATCAGCCTCTTCAAATGTACTTTGGTAACTTCCCTTCTCTGATTTCCGTACTAACTTCTCAAGATTAATTTGTAAGATACCTACTTCCTAGTACCTGATTATCTGGCCCAGAAAGAAAACGTCCCTTTTCTGATAAGGGCTGTCTTTCCACCAACACGTAGTATTGTTCTGTTGCTGAAAGTATTCAGATGACCTTCCATATATGAATATCTCAACTTGCATTTTCAAAAAGTGTCATGGTTGCTGAACCAAAACAGGGAATTAATTCATAGACAAGTCAATTTTATTTTTTTTTTGTGACAAATCTCAACTTACAGGCTGATGCCCAGGAACATGTATGAAAGTGTTGCTTGGACTTTTGGGTCAAGTAGCCACTGAACTTATCTTTCACAGTGTATGCCAGATCTTACCTAGGTTGCACACAAGAGTGAGTGAAAACCATGTATACGCAGCAAGCAACATATGCTATAGAAGGAAAGGTTCAGACAAGTTTTACATGCTCAGTCCTTCACCAATGTAGTGAGAGTGTTGTTTTCAGTAGTTCTGTCTCTCAAGCTATTAACGATAAATGTCTATGGAAATTCAGTGTAGAGTTTTTCTCCTCTTGGTCATGGATCTACAATCATGAAAAGTAAGACAATGGTAGCCTACTATGCCCTTTGATGGTAATTAATCAGGGTTATCCATTTTTTAAGGAAGGTATTGATTTTTTGAAAGCGGTTAATTTGTCTTTAATATCTTGTAGCTTCCTGGCAGATAGTCCTATAAAACTGCTTTCCATGACTGAAAAAGAATATGAGTACTTTTATTAAAGGAGAGTGTATCCAGAAATAGTTTACTAGCAACTTGCTAAGATAAATACTATTTATGTCCTTCCAGAATGTGTTTTAAGAGAGACCAGGTGTCTTCATATTTTATGCTCCAAGATCACTGCCTGTTTTCTAAGCTATCTAGTCCAGAGAAGATCCCAAATGAGATTCAGCCTTTTTGAAGAATGACAGAATTATGACCAGATAGTTCCTTGCCATTTGCTGAGTGTACCTCCTCAGTCCTTTTTTGGCATTCTTTGTTCTGCCTGCTTTGTAGCTTCTATGTTTATGATAGATACTGGTTTTGTCTTATCCTCTGTTGAGGTACTTTTCCTTCAAACTAGAATTAATTTATTTCCTGGGCTATTTCCACTGAGACCCTGTTCTTTGATGTCCATGTTTATGAAGACAGCCTTTATCTGATGTTGACATTAAGTTGAGTAAGGAGCAAGTGTACCTTGTAACTTTTCATAATATGGTTTGTTAGAGGCTGCTAAGCCTCACCCTGGTGTTTTTTTTTCCCCAAATCTTCTCCAATCTTGATTTCTTTTTAAAATGAATTAGCAATTTTACTTCAAGGGCTGTAAAAAAAAAACCAAACAGCCAAAACACAGCTTTCACAAACTAAACCTCTATTTGTGTAAAAGCTGAACATTGTCTAGTTGAAAGTTAGAATCTGAAGCCACCTAAATTGCCTGCTGTAGTCAATTCTAGGAGATCCTCTAATAAAGGTGCCCAAGAAATGTATAGCTATCTACATTACAGTTGTTATGGACATTCTATCTACTGGTAGGTGCTTCTGTTAGTGAAGATACCAAGCTCTGATGTCTACTCTGACAACCATTTAAAAAGAAATTAACACCTAATTCCTGAACATGAGTCACTAAACAAGTGGTGGTCTAGAAGTGAAATTAATGCAGTTAACCACCCCAAGGACTGTCTAGTTTTATAAGTCATTCTTCAGATTGTATTTTCAATGCTGCAAAAGTGTGAGACAGAACCTAGAACTTGGGAATTTTAGGTACTCACCCTAACAACTAGACACAAAAATCTAATCTCATGCAGAAACCCTATAGCCATCACTTCTCAAAGGACCGGTAATAAAGATCAGGTAAAAAATGAAATACTGTCTTGAAGTTTGAATTCTACTGTTGCAGAAAATATGCATGAAATCAGGGTTGGAGGTAATTGGTTTTGTGACACTGAAATAACCAAATAAAACCCTAAAAGAATGTCATGTTGCTAAACAACTCAATTGATAGAAACTTGAGGATTAGTATAATCAAATATCTAGTATCTAAGGTTTTGATATTTGGTCCATTGTCTTTGAAGGACAATGAACCAATAATTCTTAAAGTTCTGATGGAAGACCTGATTTACTAAAGAATTAAGTCATTAAAAGCCTTTAGCCAAAACTAAGTAAAACATGCATAGAAGAATCCCTATCCCAGCCTTTACTTACAGAGACTTCTGAGCAATACCCAAAGTACCAGTTTAGAATGATTGACTACTATCAGTCTAAAATGTGATCATCTAATCTGAGTCACTCTGTGAAGTCTTCTCACTTAAAACATATTTCAGCTGAGCCAAGCCTATTTTTAGAAAAAGGATTTTAGAATTAGTATTCTTTCTAATAGGACAACTATTGCATCCGTTAATTTAAAACTGAAATCAAACAGCAGTTTTAACTGCCTTGTCTATAATGTAAGTTTTGAGTCTTTCACAAATTGTGGGGGAAGAGAACACTTTGCATGTCTTTGTAGCACTAGGCTAAATAAGTATGATTGGGTTTAAGCCAGCTGATTTTCCACAAATGTCAAATAACAATGTTCAGATCTACTTAATTCCTAATTTCATTTTCCTCTCCCCCTGCCCCACCCCATATTGTTGTTCTAATAAGCACTTCCTCACCTATCATGCCAGATGGACTTCTCTGATTTTTTTTTTTTTTAAACTATTGTTGCTGCTATTTGACTATATGATCATTTAATATTCTGTGTGCATGATTTACTGCAAATCCTGTGTTGGATGTTATACTTGGTCAGCTCTCACTTGGAACTTTCTCTGACCCATGAGGCCATCTAACTAGTAATGGGCTAAAAAAAGATAAGTGTAAAAAGCTGTAGGTCTTAACACTGGGGACTCATTTCAAGCCTACCTTAAAAAAAAAACAAAAAACAAAAAAAACCCAACCAAAACACACAGGAAGAGAAAAAAAAAGGCCAAACAAAAAAGCCTTCTGGAAAATAACAGGAAAACAAACATTTTTTCTTTAAAGTAGTCCTTCATTTTGGTCTGATTTGGTCTGGCTTCACCGGAAGGCAAAACATAAATGGTAATTTCTTTGTCTTTTAAGCCTATTCTTGTCACTTAGACGATGGGGTAACAGAGAAATGTCTTGCTAGTGTTTGATCCTATATGTTGAATTAAATAAATATCTGTGCAAAAAAAGGTTTGGGCTAGTTTTCTTGTGAGCTTGCATTAAAACAGAGGTACAGAAACTTGCATCTCAGTTCATGGAGCTTCAAGCTTTTAGACTGAATTTGCTGTTTAACAATGCATCTGAAACTGATAGAGTTCTCTGAAAGTGAGCACCTTTAGCTGACTGTGATACTTTATTTCATCACCTTATCAAGTAAGTTTAAAAATTCCTCTAGAGAATCAGATTTTAGAGTGTAAATGTTGGTCACTTGTATGCTCAAAGGTAATTCTCTTCACTTAAGTAAAGGAACAGTTTTACAGGAGTAAAGTATCTTGTCAGTTTAGTGATATTTTGTTCTTAAAAATACATAATATATAAAAATAAATTAGTAATAATATGAAGAAACTTCTGTAGTTATTAACGACTTAAAGGAAGTTCGGTACGTTAGTCCTACCTCTCTTCTCTGTAACAATGGGGTCTCAACAGTGACTTCTAAAATGTGCAGTACTACCTGCATCAAATTAATTTTGTTTGCTATTGTGTATACTTTTTTCACAGTTATTAAAAGTTTATTGCAAAAGATTAGTGTTTGAGTTCAACAAAAAGATTTCAAAACATCTGCTGTTGGCATGATTGTACTGTTAGACTTAACACACAGTCTGATGTGCATTATCAGGATAGTTGAAGAAAATTATCCCTGATATCCTTTAGAAGACTAGCATTTTTTTTTCTCATAACTAGTCAATGGAAGATTGCGTAGTGAGGGCAGGGGGGTATTTTGTTTCAGAACGAGCATATTTTTTCTTTGTGACTCTTCTTTCAGTCTTGCTATCTTCTATTTCAATTAGAAGTTTCTGAACAAGAAACTTTCTGGACCATATAAAATTCCTGAGAAATAAGGAATTTTCTAATAGTGGTTGTACTGAACTGGTAACTCAAAACTGAGCTGGGGCAGCCTTTATTAGATGCTTGATGGCTGTATATAATCCTTGAGTTCCTGATCTGGAGTTCATGCTCACCTAATTTTGTGTTTGTTAACAGCTACTATAGAGCTCAACGTGGGAAGGAATGCTTGGAACACCTACCTATGGCCAAGGAGTTTCTTAGGATGGGCAGAAGAAAATAGTTTCTACTTTATATCCTGAACATAATCCATGTCAGGACACTAGCTTTAATGTCTTGCTCTCATCAGTCCCATGCTTCTCAAACTCACTATTTAATGTGAACAAAACCACAGAAACTTCATTTTGTCTTTTTTCTTTCTCATACAGACAAATAAGAGGGTGCTAGTGGAGTGCTTTAGTACTTGCATCTACTCTGCTCTTGCAGATGTTGAAACCAGCTTCTTGCTAACAACAGAAATACTGATTTGGGGAGGGTTGTACTTCATGGGGTACAGTTGATTTTGCATAATTGTGTGGGGGTAGGGGGTGGTTCTAGTTCCAGAGGAATTGATACTACTTTTAATCAGACTTAAAAACTCAATAATCCATCCTTAGACCTTTTTAACTACTGTTGTAGTAGTCTTATTCCTGAATATTATAAATACTTTTACTATGCGGCAAAGGCTTAGTTAAAATCTGTCTCTGTTGTAAGACAGGTAAATAGTGCTTACCTGTTATATGGATTGGAATTAATAGATTACATGAAAAATAACAACTCAGTTACAGCTAGGAACTTGCTGAAAATAACCTGGTTAAAGCAGAAGAGGAGGTACGTATGAAGGAGCAGAACCATTCGATCTGAAATTTTAAAAATATGTACATTGTTTCTGAGAATTTCCTGAGTTTAGTTTTTATCCCTTTGATTTTTTTTTTTTACTGTGTTAATTTTTTATTGAGAGAGAGTCCTCTTACCGTTTTGTTTTTTTGTTTTTTTTTTTAATTGTACCACAAAGCACCATACCAAATCTCAGTCTATGCACTTGGAACTGTGATACTGCGTAAGGCTTATCCTATAGTGAATTCCAAATCTGGCAATGTTTACAACCTGATTTGTTTATCTGTTACTATCATTAGAGATTCTCAGATGCTGTGTAGTTTTTCTTAAGTATTTTCTCTTGCACATTTTTACTTACAGGTTTTTGGTGCACTAGCATCTGAACCATTTAAAGTGAGCGATGGCTTTTATGGCACTGGGGAGACCTTCATGTTTACTTTTTCTCCAGATTTTGAGGTAAGTAGTAGTAACTTTGTATGCTTTTGCTTTTTCCCCACACATGCATTATCTTAAAATACTTACTGAATAAATCTAACAGTAAATAATCTGAAAAATTCTAGGAGGTGGCCCCAAAAATGTCATCATACTAGTTTTTCCACGGAATCTGTAAGTGCACAGTAAATTGGTAGTGTTTGCATAGTGGAAAACATACTCAACCTGACTGTTTCATTGTACTGAAGATTTTTCTACTAGTCTAATTTCTGCCAGGTGTCTGTCTGAAAATTCACAAACTATATCCTTTTAAAGGGCATATCATCTAACCTAAGCATATTTTCTTGGTATTTTTCATTATGTGGAAGTTTCAGTGCTCAAAGGAGACCTATTTTGGAATGGTCTTATTTTAAATAGTATAAAACAGAGAATTTTTATCTGCATATATCTGTTCCCTGAATTTTCTGTGTAAACTTGGTGACTTCATTAAATTGGCCTCTAGCCATCCATAGTCTGTCTTTACTGATGTTTAGTTTCCCTTCCGCCCAAATAAAAAGCTTTAACTTGCTAGTCAGTTTTGTTTGGTTTTTTATTAGGTTTTCAAATGGACAGGAGACAACATGTTCTTCATTAAAGGAGACATGGACTCCCTTGCTTTTGGTGGAGGAGGGTAAGTCATAATTTCTTTTTGTCATTAGAGTCTGTTGAAAGCGTGTGTGTCTGCACACCTTTGAAAAGAAAGTTTGGAATTTATTTCAGTTTGATAGCTCAGGGCTCAACAGTTACTGGCCAAGAAAGATTTAGTATGTCAGGTATTAGGCTTCCTATGTGGAGGAAACTTAAACAGGAGGTTTGTCTTCAGCATAGTGTGGCATCAAGTTTCAGCCCTGCAAGGTTATGATGCCTTGCGTTCTTTACTTGCATGTGTGTCTTGGTATATTCAGAATGGACACAAGATACTATGATTGTGAAGGTATGTAAATATGAAAATTATATGTAACTAGAAGAGGCTTGAATTGAAACCGTACCATCCCAAGATATGCCAGTGTCTTCAGAAATTATACATTGTCTCACCCGTTTCTCCCCCCCTCCCCCCGCCATGCAAGTGCATAAGCTTCTAGGATGTTTCCCTTGTTTGTTATCTGCATTCTCCTCTCATGTAAGAGTACTGTTACGCCTTTTTCTTAATACAAATGGAAGGGGCTGAAAACTGAGGAATTCTGGTTAGCTTTTTATTTCAGAATATCTGAAAGAAGGATATTCGCAAATTAATAATAACTAGTAAAAAAAAAAAATTGTTGCAGCTTCAAATTTATCAACAGCTATAAGGTACTTGTGTTGAAAAAGAATTCTATAATTCCTCCTCGTTCCTGAATTCTGAATGAAAAATGCATTCATAAGGTTAATGCTTACTCCCTCAGCCTTTTGCTTTAATACATTGTCTGTCTTGCAGAGGGGAGTTTGCTCTTTGGCTCGATGGTGATCTCTACCATGGAAGAAGTCATTCATGTAAAACATTTGGGAATCATACACTTTCTAAGAGAGAAGACTTCATTATTCAAGACATAGAAATATGGGCTTTTGAATGAGTATTTAACTACTTCTACAGGGTATTGTCCCAAACCTGACATGAATCAGTGCAGCTCAAAAATCCCTAGGAGCAATATAATGCACCATTTTACCTTTCTGATTTTTTTGGTAAGGTTTTTTTTTTTAGTTATTATTTTTAAATAGCAGACTTTTTTTCAAGCTCTCACATCTGTAATATACTGTCCTACTTTTTCTAAGCTGTAGACACTTTTACAAAATGGGACATGTGGACTGAAAATTAACATTAGTTACTTTGAGCCTTGCAGCCTACAAAATTTTCGTATATTTATTACAGTTGCCTCCCAGGTTTCCCACACACACCTTTCTGCAATCCTGCTAGGGGGCTGCTTCATTGAATATAAGTTATTATTTTTGTATTCAAATTACGTCTATGAATGAAGTTGCCCTCTGTGAACCTATATAAGAAGAAAGCTGCGTGTGGGTATTTGGCAGCAGTACTGCAGAGATTGGTCTGGACCAATGATGGGTTAATTCATATGGTGCCACAAATAGATGAGAAGCCTAGCATTCCTTCTTAACACATACCAGTACGCAGATGGTGAAGTTAGAAGATATCCAAAGTCAACAGTGCCACTTGTCTTGTTTATTGTTCATGTTTAGAAAAAAGTCTGTTAATATGTGTTCTAGCTGCATGCTGATTGTATTAAAGAGTGTTTTGCACATGCTGTTAATGGTCTGCAGGTTTGGGACAAATACTGACAATATTGAGCTACATGGCAAGGACTTATAAAATAGCAAGGGAAGGTAAGACTGTGATAGTTCCACAAAATTAAAAGGCTAAAGCAAGCAAAACTTGGTGAACAACTTGTAGCTATAGTAGGGCATTAAAAGTACAGAAACAGATGCATCTTTCTTCAACATAAAGTATCAGATATATACTGTTATACTGTTGTAGCCGTGTAGCACATCAACTCCAAGAATATAGCTTATTCCTGTCCAAAGAAAAAAATAGTTGTGATGTTTTTGAGTGGGTCTATGTTGTAAATTTACAGTTAGCACCAGCTCTGATTAAAATGAGATAATGTACTATAGGTAGACAATATTGTAATTCAGTAGACTTGTGGAATATGCAAACTTACTGTCATGTGACCTCAAAAAAAATGACAGGCTAGAATACAGTTCCAGTAGCTCTTGTCCACTTTTGTAGGAAAATTGATAAGCCATTGTGGCAATAACAGCTCAACAAAACTGTTTGTTTCAAAGCTTTTATTCTATGTTCTGGAAAAAAAAAAAAAAAAAAAAAAAAAAAAAAAAAAAAAACCAAACAAACAAAAAAAAAATTGCTGTTAAGTGTGACAGTGACTGACTTTGTGCTGAAATTTCAGCTATTTCAGATGAACATTGTATATTATCTTGTAAATTAATGTTTAAAGTAGTTTTGTTATTATAGAAAAGTGTCGATTGACGGGTTGCTTATAGCACTTTAAATTATTCTAGAAATGGAATAAAAGCCAAATGGGTTGGCTTAAGTAGATGTAGTTGTATATTATTTCAAAATATTTACATCTCTGGAAAGTTCTAAAAACTTATTTGAAGACAGCTTACTGCTATGGTAATGAGAAAGGGCAGATGTTTCATCTATAATATGCTAATGCTCAATATGAATAGAAATACAGGGCTTTGTTTCCTGTCTCTATGTATAGCTCTTTATCCTTACTAGAACTTAGTACAATGTGTAGACTGAATGTTTACAAAATAAGGAATTGTAAATAAATTGAAATGGCTTTTCTCCCCTTTGGTCTTCCACAGCAGTATTATTGTCTTTGTGGAGTTAAGACTGATTATTACAACAACAAAAAAATCCTGTAATGGATTTTAAGTACTCTAAGGTCACAGTGATGTATAGCAAATAAATCTAAATATATGTAAAAATAAATTTGAGTTGGAGTTTATTTGGAAGTTGGAATTTACTTAGAAGCACAAATGCATATTATTGCTGTTCATTTAATAACTGTACTGAATATATAGGATGCATTTGCTCATCCTTTTTGGAATTTTTGGTTTTTGAAAACCCAGTGGGAAGTGGTGAAAGTGAAATATGCTGTCTTCAGCCATTTTCAAGGGGGGGGGGAAGCATCTTGAATTAATGGGTTTTGTCACCAAGGGTAATCTAAGTACTTAGTCTCTATGCGAAGCTCATATTGCAAATAAAGCCTGGTTTAGATTTAAAATTCTACCGTGAAGAATTTTATAAACAATTATACTTTGAGGAATTATATAAAACCAGAAAATATTCAGTAGGTGAATGTCTCTGAGTATTGGACCAGTCTTGGAAGGGCACATGGGGAAAAAAAAGTGGAAATCAAGAACAGTATAGTAAGCAATACAGTAGCAATCACACTTGTATAAATGCTAAATTAGTTAAGGAACAGAAAGACATTTGAGTTAAAGTATAAATGACTGTAGTAACACTTAGTGAGGTGACTAGCTGTGTAAAGGGTCTACAGGGAGTAATGCATGTCTGTTAATGAAAGACCGTGAACTTTGTTAACCAAAGGTATGGTTTAACTTCTGTATGACACACATAAAAGACTGTATAGATGAGATCAAAGGCACTGTCTTGATGTACCTCCTGCCTTCAATTCAGTATGAATTTTCTGCAGTATAATTCCTTTCCATCTTTCCTGGCAAGGTTTGCTTTTATGATTGTAAAGAGTTGAGGTTTGACATATGCTGACGACTTTATGAGCTACATTTTGGTGCCAGAAGACTGTGTCTCAGCATACAGTACTCAGATGTATTCATTGACTAACTTGATGTTTTGCTCAGATACCTAGGATTCTTACCACATCAGCTTTCAGCTCTAAATCCTATCTATGTTAATTACTGCTTTTGTATAATCTGCAAAAAGACGTTATTTCTCACGTATGGCTTGTGCTTGCATCCTCCTGCTCACCTATGTGTACTACGTTAGGTATTTTTTATGGGAGTGAGCATGTCTGCATAAAATCCAATCTTTGAAGAGGAATAAAAACATTTACTACTCACTCAATTTCAAATTAAAAAAATAATCTTGATTTGGATACTTCCCAGTATTCCTTATTCAGGACTTGAATCTTAAATCTCACTTTTATGTTCTTCCTTTGTAAATGAACACATGCCATCAGGGAGTTTTACTATTGTCACAGCAATGGGGAGCTCAGTTAAGGGAAAATCCTCTACTCTTTCCGCCCTTAAGAGTACATGCTCCTGCAAAATGAAATAGAGCTACACTGTGGTACTGGAGCAGAGAGAGTCCAGCTGAGGGAATGGTGTACACTTAGTGTAGTATGTACAAACCAAAGTGGTCCTGCTAGCTCTCCCACTGCAGTATCACCAATGTCAGGTCTGTTTAAGCTCTGCTTTCTGCTGTCCTGCTTATCTGACAAGCTTTGTAATCTTGTTGAGTTTCTGTTGTAATAATTATGCTGCTAGTAGTACACATACTGTTGAACACACTTTCAGTGTGCCCTGTGGTGACAGGAGTGACTGCAGTTGAGGTGTTGGTGTGGTGCAGTGTATACATAGCACCTGAAGTAGTTATGGCAGTAGGGCTTGCCAATATTTGTTCTGTGATCAGTGATGATTGAACATCTCGCCACAAATGTTATACTTTCCGCTACAGCTAATTTTATTTCGGTAGGCTTCCCTTGTTTTAAAAATGAGCTGTAGTACTGAACCCTGGCTGTGCAGAAACATTTTAAAGAAGGAATTGCTGCTGTGGAGGAGGGAGCTGATTTCCAGTGGGTGGGATATACATCCAGTGGACCATCTACTTGCTTCAAGCCACTGCAGCAACTGTTGTAAGACTTGAAAAATACAAAGGTGTGAAAGTCAAATTTATTTCTTCTGATACAAATTCCATGCTGTCACTTACGCATGAAAGCTACATTGAGAATATGGAAAGTGTCTCTTCTTCTGTAGGAACTATGAGGTACATGTTTTTTGATACCAAGGAAGGAACTTTGCTTTCCTAGAAAACTACACAACCCTTGCAAGAGCAACAGAAGCCTCAGACAGGAAAATGAGAGATCTGTTAATTATCAGAAGGAAATCTGTTTCAAATAAAACATTTTGGGGGGTGAATACCGTATTTAAGAAAATAATGTGCCACTGTAAGTTACCATTAACTAAGAGTTGCTCATTCTTTATCTCAAAGGTTAAGGGCTTTCTCTTTGAAGCAATTCAATAATAGGAAAGCAGGTCTTAAATAAAAACTATGAAGACTGCTTTAATCATCAGGTTTTGACCTTTATCGTCTTACTAATTTAAGTAGAATATTTAAATTTGGCAGAGGTCACGCTAGTTTCACAGGAATGTAACAGTTACAATATAGTAGGAGAATTAGACTGGATAATTTATGGAGTACTTTTGTTCAGTTGTTTTTTAATTCAGATTTATTTTCTCCAACTACTCTACAGGGATAAATTTGTCACATATCTTTATGTAAAAAAATGTTATAAAACATGTAACCTACATGAAACACTTCCACACATTATAAGTCATATCAGTGTTTAATATTTCTCTTACCCAAAACCTGTAAATACTTTTCACAGTTTAGAAGGCTTTGCATGGTACTGCCTACTCAAAGGTAAATGATGGAGGACAGTATGAGACAAATCATTAGTCATATCACTTGTGGTTTTCTTATCCAACTGGAAATAAAATATTTTGAGTGGAAAAATGGAAAAAGAGGGGGAGGGGTGCTTCATAAAGTTTTTTGACATTGCATTGGGATGGCTATGGGAGGCTTAAGAAGGTATCTGCAGTGAGCTATAGATTTATGATGTCTAGTAGTGATTACATTGTTACACAGTTGACCTGTAAGGAATTAAAGGCAAAGAGAGATTTGAAGAGAGCTCGTGAGCTTGAAGGCTAGTCTTTTTTTCCCTCAAATATCAATTGATCTAATGTTACCTTTCTCTAAACTTATAATCTTGGTTTTATCCTATATGGTAAGTCTAAATGCACATATATCTGGGTATTCCAATATGCAAGAAGACATTGTTTCTATAAATATATTAGCAACAAAAGGAGGGCTAAGGAGAATCTCCATCCTTTATTGAGTGCAGGGGGAAACACAGTGACAAAGGATGAGGAAAAGGCTGAGGTACTTAATGCCTTCTTTGCCTCAGTCTTTAATAGTAAGACCAGTTGTTCTCTGG